TTTTCTTCCTTACTATGTTGCGGCAGGTCCTTGATTCCAGTTCGAGGGCTAATTGGTGTCAGAAGATTCACTTATTCTATTGACGACTTTTTGTCACAATGTTAGAAAACATACCTCATTCGTTATTTTGCAGAATATTCTTTCACACGCTGGACTAAAATTTTCCCAGTCACTTTTCTTGTAAAAAAAAATTTTTTTGTTCTGTCCCCTTCTATTTGTACGTCAATTCTGACTATATTTCATCCACCTCTTTGAAGAGTGATTATTGACAATGTTCTCATTCACCTTTAATCAAAGCATGTTAAATTATTGTACGTTGGCATGTTTTTGTAATTATTTTTTGCAGATATTTTATAATTTGAACTCGAAATCTTTTCAAATCATGATCAAAGTAATAAATGATGTAACCGAATGGTTCTAGTAGCAACTGATATTACTACTGGTGGGTGAAAAGATATATTACTTTGTGAAAATTATTATATAAAAACAATGCCAGATTTTCGAGACGTTCTTAACGTTAATTTGTTGCTTTGTCAGTAATTTAACGAGATGGCATAAGTAAGAGTGAACATTTCTCATTTCTCTTCCATCGCTTTATGAAGTCACTACTCTCTTCGTCCACTCATTAAATGACTTTTCCAATGGCTTTTTAAATATCTGCGAAATGAATAATTAACGTTGAAGCAACCCAGGTCAAAAATGTTGGAACTTCGGCGTCCAAGTGTGGTGAAGTTTCTATGGTGTCTGCACCATGTTCTCTTTTTCCTATTTCCAGGTAGAGTAAAATTAATAATGACCGGCACAGAAATTGTATCCGGAAAGAGAACGATGTCTTTTTAAAACAATATTTTCTTTTATTATACTATGAGTGGAAAAAGAAGGGTTTTTGCAGTTTCTAACATTTTTTTCAGTCGCCACTGGACGTAGTAGTCTGAGCTACTACTGAACTACTAGTGTGGTTTGACGTAAGAAATAAAATTGTAAATCACATGTGTGAATAGAATTCATATGCAAAAATGCGCTAAATCAATTTTGTGACATAAAATTATTCCACAGTCTAAAGTGAATCGATATCTACTTCAGGAGAATCGTAGATATCTAAATCCCAAGATCCAAAAAGTTACCGTTAACTGGAATAGTATCCGTAGTCAGATCACAACATTTAGTGCCTGTCCTTCAAATGTTTCTTGAAAATTCCTCTTCCTTATAAATATAAGACTTCCTAGCGATATATTTAGGACCCTGAATTACAAACTCATTTAATGATAAATAACACTAAGGTACTTTTCAGGTAAGGTAGACTGACACACTCTGATTTTTAGTGTTGTGTTGTTGCAGTATTGTTAAAATTGTGTTTGACTTAAGACAAACTTACGCTTAGCCGGTTACTTGAAACTTTGTGAACGTAAGAAAGCAATTCATAACTTGAGTACACTGTTTTATGAGCTTTATATAACACCACAATTGATCTATTCACTGAGTTTCCTTCCACATTATCAAGTTTTAACCCTTGAAATTTCTTTTGCATGTACAAGAAATTGTGATTTTGGTAGATATTTCTAGTTATAAAAACTCTAAAAAATATTATTTAAGAAAAAAGTTGTGTAATTACATATAAGCCCTACCAAGACACAGTGAACATACACTAGTAATTGTTTCATGTGTAATACTGTTATAGAATGTGTACTGTTGTAAATTAGGAGTGTAAGTTGTACATATCCATTGAAATTTGAAATGTATGCGTGAAAACTATTTTGAATGGATAATTATTATTATTATTATTATTATTATTATTATTATTATTATTATTACTATTATTATCATTATCATTATTATAGCAATAATTCTAAGTTTTCTATTTTTTAGTTGGGTTTACTTACATAAAATTAAACATTTTTATAATCGTAGTTGGACATTTTTACATATTTCCTACTTTGGTTCCATTGTTTGTGAAACACAGCGCAAATGTCCTAGAAACTTTTAATTGTTCAAATATTGTATATTTATGTTATTATAGAGAACTACAAGAGTGTTGTTTATTACAGACTTGAATTATAAGACATTTTAACACTTTTTTCGCGAAACTAAAATACTATAATGCATACCATTGTAGTTCAATGTTTAATAAATGCCCATTTTTGGTTCCGGCAAAAATCCCATAACTTCGACAGAATCTCACGGAGAAATCGTCACTCAAATCTAAGAGAATTGTAACAGTTTTCTTTTGTAAGAAATAATTTCATTTCTTTTCATTAAGTTTCTTTTCACGTTCCATTTCACTTACTTTCGTTTGTTAATCTTTACTAAAAGCATTTTGATTTTTTTATATATTTTGTTGCAATAACGAAATGTTAATTCGTGTAAAATGAAGATGTATCTACTGGCATGGAAACACTGCGTTACATTGCGTGTGTTTGAAGAACTTCAAGGATTGTCGATTTGTCTGCCATCGATCCGAGGTTGCGAACCATGCGGCACTGCTCCGCACTTACAGTACTGTAGCGAAGGTGGTTGAAGAGGAGGCATTCGCGCGACGTTTCGAAGAATATGAAAATAATGATCGCGCGCGTCGTGTCCCGAATTCGCAAGGATTCTCCTTTCAAAACAAGAGGCGCGCAGAAAATTCTAGGTCAGTGTACCCACCGAAAATTCCGTATTCCGTCCGTGACAGCACCATTCCGCTTCCATTCCCGCTCTTCAACAGAGTTGAAATTCCGTCATCGACTGACTCGAGCGCGGACGTCTCCTAAAGTAGAAATGCGTGCGTTGCGGTCTGCGGATGATATGAATTGAAAAACAATATTTGGGGAGAAATTAAAAGTAATGTCTATGTCAAATCTTTGCGGTTCTGAATGACTCAATAATATTACAAACAACTGAGTTATCGCATGTTTTTACGTGCTGTCCTTTTCTTATGCTTCAAGAAGAAAATAGCGGATGCCAAAATAATTTACTTCCTCCCTAAATTCCGGTCTTGGTAGTAGGTTCTGTCAATCATATCTCGATAGTCTTACATCGTTACTAGCAAATCGCAACAAACTCATTAAACTTTCCCATTGGATTATTTTTTCACTTTACTGTAACATACACTTAACGATGCCCAAGAAAAGTGACTCCTCCCCAATTTTGTAATTAATTTAGGATAACCTAAACATTAATTTCGCGGCTAAAGAAAATACGCTTTACCGAATACACCAACTATCCTGTAAAATATCGTTATGCGTTTTTCAGGAAATTTCTTTAGCTCAAAAATAACGATTTTCAAGATGTGCCTTTTCTTGGACTCCAATGTTACCATACTGCTAATGAAAACAATTTTATTATCGTGTACTATCATATTAATATACTGATAACATAATTTGAGAGTTCATTCTTGAACTTCAAGCGATTTATAAAAATAAATCATTGCTCATAAACATTAATTACATGAGTTGTGAAATCCCTAATTATTTCAACATCCAGAAATAGAAAGCAGCGAAGCTATCAGCAACTGTGCTCTTGCGATTTGTGTTAACAGATCGAGCTCCTGTATCGACGGGGTTTCGTGATATTGTATTGTACTTATAGCTATGTTACAGACCGGTTTTACCACAAATTTCAATTTTAGCCAGAAATGGCATAGGGCTATCTGCTCCCAAGCTCTTCCATTTCTTTGAAGGATTAGGATAGATGTCATTAGTGTCAAATGATTTATTGTTTTCCAGCACGTCAACTATTATGATCATTTGGTGATGTGTGGTAGAGTAGTGTATGAACGTGTAGTGTAAGGGGAGAGATTAGGAAGAGGAAGAAAACATTGCGCCCGAGTCTGTTTGTTAGATACTGTCCCGCCTTTCACCTGGAATTGATCATAGAAACAACGGAAAACTACCGATCAAACTAGCTCGCTGCTAGTATTCTCCTCCAAACAATTTGTCATAAAAAGTTATTTTTTGGTTGATATTATAGTTTTTTTAATGGAAGAACCTTATTAAAATATAAAACTTTTCGATTTTTTCCCTTTGACTTTAATTATTTACGAATATTTAAATACTAGAAACAAACGTTTACTCTCAAAATATTTGTTTTTGAGGTTTGGATGAAAAACATTTTATTGGAGAAATCTCGCCTGAAAAGAGCTGTTGTTTCGATTTATGTTTCATTTTATGTATACCACGTGTCAAAAACAAGCTACCGTAAAAGGATCAATCACGACAAGAACATCCCACATCGAAGCTATCAAATATCGCCATATTGCTGTAACTGGGAATTTATTTCACAGACGTGGTTTTATGTGTTATATTTTTAGATGCTCGCAATAATCGCACAATACGCTTGCGTTCGCCTCGGCCAACGACTATTCGGTATTCGTAAATACTAACGAATGGAGCGCCTGGAGTAGACGCAGGTCGATTTCAATCTGAAACGCTAACAACGCCGGCGGCTGGATCCCCGGCCATAACGCGCTCTCCGGGGACACGAGGCGGCAGGCTGCGGCCGCGTCCAGCGCCGGCGGATCGAAGCGAGATTGTCGACATTTTGGTCGCTTTTATTTGTCCGCGTGCGTCCATTTCCGGCAGCGGAGCAGCGGCGACGGTAGCGGCGGCGACGAACGACGCACGTACGTCGAGTGGTGACGGAGCGAGGCGGAGCGAGGCGGAGCGAGGCGGAGCGAGGCGGAGCGAGGCGGAGCGAGGCGGAGCGAGGCGGAGCGAGCGGAGGAGGGCGGACGAGGCGGAGGCGAGGCGGAGCGAGGCGGAGCGAGGGGCGGAGGCGAGGCGGCGAAGGCGTGCGAGCGGAGGAGCGGAGCGAGGGCGGTAGCGAGGCGAGGAGGCCGGAGCGTAGGCGAGCGAGCGGAGCGAGGGAGGCGAGCGAGCGGAGCGGAGCGACGGAGCGAGGCGAGGGGAGGCGGAGCGAGGCGAGCGAGAGCAGCGAGGGGGAAGCGGAGCGAGGCGAGCGAGGGCGGCAGCCG